AAACAATTGTAAATACGTATGCCCCCAACTTGAGAGTACTCAAATACATAAACCAATTAATAACAAACGCAAAGAAAATCATTGATAATCATACAATAATAGTAGGTGACCTTAACACCCCACTTACAACAATAGACACATCATCTAAGCAGAAAATCAACAAGGAAACGATGGCTTTGAATGACACAAATGGACTTAACAGATATACTCAGAACATTTCATCCTAAAGCAGAATACACATTCTTCTTGAGTGCACATGGAACATTCTCCAGATAGATCACATACTGGGTCACAAATAAGCCTTCAATAAGTAAAAAGAGATTGAGATCATGCCATGTATATTTTCAGATCACAACGCTATGAAACTTGAAGTCAACCACAAGAAAAAATTTGGAAAGTCCTCAAATACCTGGAGGTTAAAGAACACCCTACTAAAGAATGAATGAGTCAACCAGGAAATTAAGGAAGAAATTAAAAATACATGGAAGTAAATGAAAATGAAAACACGACAGTCCAAACCCTTTGGGATTCAGCAAGGCAATTCTAAGAGGAAAGTACATTGCAATTCAGGGCTATCTCAAGAAGCAAGAAAGTCCCCAAATAAACAACCTAACCTTACACCTAAAGGAGATAGAAAAGGAACAGCAAATAAAGCCTAAAGCCAGCAGAAGAAGGGAAATAACAATATAGAAACAAACACAACAGAAGCAGAAGCAGAAACAGAAACAGAAGCAGAAACAAACAACGAAAACCAGTAGAACAGATCAGTGAAACTAAGAGAAGGTTCTTTGAAAGAATTAACAAAATTGATAAATCCCTAGCCAGACTTATCAGAAAGAAAAGAGAAAGGACCCAAATAGATAAAATCATGAATGAAAGAGGAGAGATCACAACCAAAACCAAGATATACAAACAAGCGTAAGAGAATTCTATGACAACAAACTGGGCAATCTGGAAGAAATGGACAAATTCCTAGAAACTCACAAACTACCAAAACTGAAACAGAAAGAAATAGAAAATTTGAACAGACCCATAACCGGCAAAGAAACTGAATCAGTATTCAAAAATCTCCCTACAAATAAGAGTCCGGGGCCAAATGGCTTCCCAGAGGAATTCTATCCGACATTTAAAGAAGGGTTAACATCTATTCTTCTTAAACTGTTCCAAAAAACAGAAATAGCAGTAAAACTTCCAAACTTATTCTATTGGGCCAGCATTACCTTGATTCTAAAACCAGACAAAGGCCCCACTAAAAAGGAGAATTACAGGCCAATCTCCCCAATGAACATGGATGCAAAAATTCTCAACCAAAACAATAAAATACCCAGGAATAAACCTAACAAAAGAGGCAAAAGATCTATACCCTGAAAACTATAGAACACTTATGAAAGAAATTGGAGAGGACACAAAAAAATGGAAAAGCATTCCATGCTCATGGATTGGAAGAACAAACATTATTAAAATGTCTATATGACCCAATGCAATATACACATACAATGAAATCCCTATCAAAATGCTACCAGCATTTTTCACAGAGCTAGAACAATCCTAAAATTTGTATGCAACCACAAAAGACCCCAAATAGCCAAAGCAGTCCTGAAAAAGAAAAACAAAACTGGAGGCATCATGATTCCAGATATATTACAAAGCTGTAGTCATCAAGACAGTATGGTACTGACACAAAAACAGACACATAGAACAATGGAACAGAATAGAAGACCCAGAAATGGACCCACAACTATATGGTCAACTCATCTTCAACAGAGCAGGAAAGAATATCCAATGGAAAAGACAGTCTCTTCAACAAATGGTGCTGGAAAACTGGATGGCAAAAACATGCAGAAGAATGAAATTAGACCACTTTCTTACACCATGCACAAAAATAAATTCAAAATGGATGAAAGACCTAAATGTGAGGAAGCAACAAAATTCTAGAGGAGAACACAGGCAGCAACTTCTTTGACCTCGGCTAGAGCAACTTCTTACTTGACATGTCTCCAAAGGTAAGGGAAATAAAAGCAAAAATGAACTAGTGGGACCTCATCAAGATAAAAAGCTTCTCCACAGCAAAGGAAACAATCAACAAAACTAAAAGGCAACCATCGGAATGGGAGAAGATATCTGCAACTGACATATTGGATAAAGGGTTAGTATCAAAAATCTATAAAGAACTTACCAAACTCCACACCTGTCTGCATTGAATATCTTTGGAACTTTACAAGTTTTTAAATAAAATAATTTTCTTTTCTTTTCTTATTTCTTTTTAGTGAGAGAGAGCATGAGAGAATGCAAGCACATGAGTGGGGTGGGGGAGGGGGATGGGCAGAGGGAGAGGGAGAGAGAAAGAATCCCAAGCAGGCTCTGTGCTGTCAGTGCAGAGCCCAATGCAGGGCTTGATTTCACAAACCTTAAAATCCTGACCTGAACTGGAATCAAGAGCCATGGGCTTAACCAACTAAGCCACCCAGGAGCCCAGGGAGAGAGAGAATCAATCTTAGGCAAGCTCCACACCCAGTCCAGAGCCCCAACACAGGGTTTGATCTCATGACCTTGAGATCATGACCTGAGCCAAAATCAAGAGTTGGACGCTTCACCAACTGAACCACCCAGGCATCCCTAAAATCATTTTCAAATCCATTATTTCCTTCCATCCTCACAATCCCGTATAAGTTATTCAATTCCCCTGAGAGACATGTCCAAATGCAATGCTCTTGTGTATTATGCTGTATTATGTTCTTTTTGACATTATTGTTACTAAAACATTCAAAATGAGGACATAACATCCATGCATTTGGCTATTGTCTGCTTTTTCACAGCGCAGGTAAGTAAGGCTATTACTTTAGAGCAGGAGTCTGTGAACTGTCTCTGTAAAGGGTCCAACAGTAAATATTTTACATTTTACAGGTCAAGAGGCAAATAGTGAGTATTTGGTAGGTACTTATATAACAAGAAAACACATTTCCACAATTTTCACTGATGAAATTAAAAATGTATAATAATTAAGTACATTTTTGGTGTAACTGATGTCTATTATTGAGAAAAATGAAAGTCTTTTTTTTCTTGGAACAGTATTTGAGTTAATTGGGGTTTAGAGTTCCTGCATACTATCATCAAATTGATTTGTAAAATCAGTTCATTTGTAAAAACTATTCTTAATTCCACAGCTGTGCAAAAACTGGGCAGGAAGGATTTGGACTGTGGGCTGTGATTTGCCAACTCCTGTTTTAGAGTATGGTTCTCCAGATGATATCCCTGGATCAGCCGCTTTCACCCCACCCGGGAACTTGTCAAGAATAAGAATTCTTCAGGCGCCTGGGTGGCTCAGTTGGTTGAAAGTGGGCCTCTTGGTTTCAGCTCAGGTCATGATCTCATGGTTTGTGGGATACAGCCCTGCGTTGGGCTCTGCACTGACAGTGTGAAGCCTGCTTGGGATTCTCTCTCTCTCCCTCCACTGCACTCTCTCATTCCCTCTCTCAAAAATAAATAAGTAAAAAAATAAATAAGAATTCTTCAAAAACATCTGAATTAGAAACGATGGGGGATAGGGCCCAGGCATCTGTGGGTTTTTTTTTTTTTTCCTTAGGTTTATTTTTGAGAGAGAGAGCAAGTGGGGGAGGGGCAGAGAGAGAGAGAGAGAGAGAGAGGGAGGGAGGGAGGGAGACAGAATCCCAAGCAGGTTCCACACTGTTAGCACAGGGCCTGACATGGAGCTTGAACCCACAAACTGAGATCACGACACCCAAAATCAAGAGTCCAAGGCTCAACTGACTGAGCTACCCAGGCGCCCTGCCATCTATGATTTTAAAAGCTCTGTTGGTGACCTTGAGCCAGCCAATGTTTCAGAACCACTGTTACATATCTATGCCTATACCTGATCTCCTTCTATATAGATGTATTTATTTCTTTTGGGGAATTCTGAGCTTAACCCTGCATGATGATGCCACAGACAACTCTTTTCCCACACGTTAAGGCCTTCATTTAAGGAAAATTACATTATATTCCACCTTCCTCCAATCTTAAAAATAACATCCAAAATTGCTACATTGCTACCTACTCACAGACGTCTCAGCCTTCAAAGGCATTGTTGGCAATGAACTTACTTAAATGTATATATCATGTTGAACAAGGACACTGAGGATGGGGGAAAGGGAGAGGAGCAACCCTGAAAAAGTTCTCTCAACCTCGGTTGCTCCTAAAATGTCTTAGCCGGGATCCCAGGAGGAAACACCTTCACAGCTACCAGGTACTTCTATCGCCACCACCACCCCCATTAGTAAACTGAAACCGGAGATAATGGCTTTCCCGTCACCTCGCCTGCCAAGATAAAAACAAAACCTGTCAAGGCAGGTTGTCCAAACGACAGGCTGAACCTCGAGTACATACCTGCCTGTCCAAACAGCCCCTCTGCCTCTATCGCCACCCGCACCCCGCCCCCCCCCCAACCGGGAACAGCGGCTGCCACTCCTCAAAGATTACTTGAGAATTTTTAAAAACTAAATCTATCTTTAGTCTCTCTTCTCTGCAAATCACTCTGGCAGGATTACACCTTCCCTTAGTCTTTCCACGCCAACACCTGGGGAAAAACTCCCAGGTGCATTCGCCCATTTCTGACGCCACTAAAATTATGGGCGGGTCTACGAAATAAAACATTACCTAGCCCTCTGCAAAGAGGAACCAAATACTGCTCCTCATATGCTGAGGTGCTAAAATAGCCCCGAGATCCTCCCAGAGGGAAGGAGAGAGGAGAGGGTACTGCTAACTGGAGAGGTTCTGCGGAGCTAGGGAGACACTTTCAGACTCCGTCTTTGCCTTCCTTTCTTTGTTTCCGCCTCTTCTGGCTCAACAAATTCGGTTCTGTGTCCTCGGGGCTGTGGAGGGGACCCGTTCTGGGGAGCGCACCAACAAACCCTCGGGGCCCAGGGCGCAACTCCTCCCGCGCGGCGTCCAACGCGCTCCACCCTTCGGTCCCGCAACCGCAGCCTCGGCGCGCAGCGACTCACTATTAAAGGCAGGGAGCACAGAGTGAAGAGCACCGTCATGAGGGCCAGCAACAGCAGGTGGTCCAGTTCCTCCAGGGGCTTCACAGCCGCCTCCTTCTCGCCCGCGCCCGGCTCCGCGCGGTCCCTGGTGCCGGAGCGCGGGCGCCGCCGCAGCCGCCGGTGCATCTCGTAGAGGTTGCGCATGGCGCTCAGGTTGCACAGCACGATGGCGAGGACCAGCAGGGCCATAAGGCTGGCGTAGAGCACTGAGTAGCGCAGCACCGACGGCGAGCGCTCCTCGTGCACCATCTGGATGAAGCACCAGGTGCCGGGGCAGTACTGCACGAACTTCCCGATGCCCGCGAAGGGCAGCGCGCAGAAGGCCAGGCAGAAGGCGCCCACGACGGGCGCCACCAGCGCGCCGCGGCGCAGGGTGATGTGCCGTCGGTAGAAGAAGGGGTGCCCCAGGGAGAGCCAGCACTCCAGGGCCATGGCCAGGAGCTGCAGCGTGGAGGCGAGCCCAAAGAAAGACATGAAAAAGGCGAAGGTTTGGCACAGCGAGCTGTCCGACGCGGGCGCCAGTCCCCACAGGCTCCGGTTCTGCGCGTAGGCGGCCAGCACGAAGGGGCTCACGAGGCATTTGCCCAGCAAGTCTGTGACCGTCAGGCCGCACACCAGCACGTAGAAGACCGAGGGCGGCGTGCGCCGCGGGCAAGACCCCAGCCCCGAGCGAGCCAGCAGCCCCAGCGCCAGCAGGTTGCCCAGGAGGCCCGCGCTGAAAAGCACCCCGCCCATGGTCGCCGAGTAGCCCTTCTCCACGGAGGTGATGTTGTAGCAGCGGTAGAGCGGCTGCCGCATGGCTGGTGGCGCGGCGGGCAGGCGGGGCTGCGGCACGGCCAGGGCCCAGGTGTCCGCGGGCGGGAACCCCCGGCGGCTCCGCGCGCGCGCGCGCGGCCCCGACCAACAGGCTACGCTGCAGAGGAAGCTCCGCGGGCGGAGGGGTGTTCCCTACTGCCGGCACCTCCTATGTAAACTCTGTGGTCACACCCCGCCCCTCGGGGCGGGCCGAGGGGCCGCGTGCGCACCCCGCGCAGGCATTGTGGAACCCGCAGCAGCCGCGCAGAGGTGGCTGCCCTGACGTCCTGAGGAGAGATAAGCCCTTCGTGCCCAGAGTTGGAAAGAAAGAAGTCCCAGCGTCCAAGGCCGGTCTTTCCGACGAGGCGAGAGAGCTGCTGAAGTGGAGGGAGATTAAGTAACAGCCAAAAGGGAGGAGAGGGGCGAGGAGCGTGAGGAGGAGATGGTGGCGGGACTCTGGTGGTGCCCAAGACGAACTCTGAGATGAGCGTGGAGAGGAGGCTGAGAAAGGGCTACTACTAGTTGTTGAATTAGTGCTTTAAGTAGGAGTAAGGGTAACTTACATTTGCATACTACTTAAGCCTTAGCTCGCATTGTTTTCCAGGTCTGTGCAATGTGAACAGTGATCTTCACTGCACTGGTGAGGAAACTGAGACCTTGGATGGTTAAGTGCTCTCTATCCAAGGTTACAGAGCCAGGAAATGGCAGAACTGGACCTGAAACGCAGATCTTCTATTTCTAGAGTCCATCCATCGGTCTTGCTTCATTGCCTTCTCCTCTTGAGAGGTCTGCGAGATATCAGGGAAGTAGATCCAGAAAAAAACAAGAAGAGATGCTGGCCCTGGGTACCATGACTCACAGTGGTTGTGTAGACGGTAGGAGGAGCATGGTTAAAACCAATGATGCTGTTCTCATACAGACCTGAGTTTGAGTACTGATTCTGCTACTCACTGCCTTTGTGACCCTGAGAGCCTTGCTTAACTTCTCTAGAAGTAACACCTTGCCAGCATGCTTGGCTCTTTTGAGGCACAGGGACAACATCTGTAAAGTGCAGACACCTAGGTAGTGATCAGTGCAATGCAGTTGTCAGGATTTTCACCTGCTTGGGGAAGGCTGTTTTAGTAGCTGATATTTAACTGCAGTTTTTAGCCTGGGTTTTGAAACCAGGAACCAGTAGGCTTTGTTTAGAGCTTTCTCACTCTGGTTTGTGACTACCAGAAAACATTTCCCTTCTGGCCTTTGACTTGGCTGTATCAGTAGAGGCAAGGGAATTCATTGTGATACATGTGATTTCTTTCTTATGTAGCCCTTGATAAACTGGGTGAACAACTGGCTTTGAGTGTGGAATTTGAGTAGGATTACTGGGACCATATTAGGCAAGCAAGTAGAGATTATGGCTTGGCTTAAAGAAGCTCATTCTTAGGCTCAGTGCCTGTTTTGATGCTGGACTCAGGGAAAGAGCAAGACTCTCGAGCTTTTTTTTTTTTTTTTCCAACGTTTATTTATTTTTGGGATAGAGAGAGACAGAGCATGAACGGGGGAGGGGCAGAGAGAGAGGGAGACACAGAATCAGAAACAGGCTCCAGGCTCTGAGCCATCAGCCCAGAGCCCGACGCGGGGCTCGAACTCACGGACCGCGAGATCGTAACCTGGCTGAAGTCGGACGCTTAACCGACTGCGCCACCCAGGCGCCCCATCTAGAGCTTTCAATGTGAAAGCCTTAAGGGTGGCTGGAGAGGTCACCCCGAGACGGAAAGTGTGGCCAGTAATTCGGGCTGTGGGGTGGAGATGAAAAGTCCATGCTTTGGAATTGGATAGTTTTGGAATTGGATAGCTGTGGCACTGGGTTAGTTTACTCTATCACCCTAAGTAAATCTCCTTGTAAATAGAATATGGGATTTATGCTGCCCTCTAGGGTGGTTGTGAAGTTGCAAAAGCCCAAAGTGTTTGGCAGAGAGTAATAATAACAACATTTATGGGACCTTATACATGTTAGGCACTCTTGAATCTGTTCTCATCTGTTGACTCATTTAATAGAAGGCCTTCCACAGGGTGAGTTCCCTAGCTTCCACCTTCTCCCATTCATCCCCACCTCCAGCTCTTGATGAAGAGTGATGGGTTTAGAAGAGTCTCACTTGAGTTGATGACGTGGAGAAGAAGGAGCATGCTCTAAAACCAAGAGCAAAATCTGATGACATCTGAAGTCTCCTTTCCAGACAGAAAGCCAGACAGACACACATACACACAAACACACACACTCACAATTTACACTAATTGCACATGTTACCAGTTTCCTGAAATCCCACGGTGGTGCCCAGAGGAGGCCTAGCTTAAGAACCCTCCTCTAAGGACATTGACCAGGGGGTTCTCTGAAGCATACCTACTCCAGTTCTTTGAAGCCTTATTCTTCCGTTGCAGCTGCCTCCACCTCTGTGCTCCTTCCAAGATTAGTGCACAGGGAGAAAAGAGCCCAAAAGTGTAAGCAGCTTTTACAAAGAACTCCAAAGAGTGACTGAAGAGAGAGTTGAAGATCCTTGACAGTGTTTACATGTCATGCCTCAAAGGTTGATGGCCTTGCACGAGTATAATTCAGGAAACCACATGTTTCCTCCTGGCTAATGTAGCTGGCCTTTACCATGGGTTTCCGGCTGTTTTCCTGCTCGCTTTGCTCTTGTTCACTCTGCTCAGTTTTCAGGCTTCACTTTGGAGTCTCCTAAGAAGTCTGATTTCACACATTTACTGTTCAGCCAGGAAAAGTATCATTTGTTCATGCATTGTGTATTTTTTGAGCACTTACTTTGGTTCCAGGGATGGGGGCAAGGTATGTGGGCACTGAGCCACGCATAGCAAATAAAGGAAGGCAAATGTCATGTCCTGTGACTTTTACATGGTTACAAACTTTTATATCAGTTTTCACAGTACTAAGGCTAATTTTTTTTTTTTTTGGTAGGAGGAACACTTTTTTAAAAAATTATTTTTGATAGAGACAGAGCACAAGTGGGGGAGGGGCAGAGAGAGAAGGAGACACAGAATCCGAAGCAGGCTCCAGGCTCCGAGCTGTCAGCACAGAGCCCGACGTGGGGCTCGAACTCACAAACTGCGAGATCACGACCTGAGCCGAAGTCAGATGCTTAGGAGCCACCCAGGCGCCCCAAGTAGGAGGGACACTTTTAATGAAAATATCTTAGGCCTACTTATGTAGGAAATTATCTTCATTATCTGCAGAGCTGTATTAGGAGACTTAATTGGCTTATAAAACAAATTTGGAAAAGTATACATGGCATAATGTGAACAGACAAATCTGAATATATAATTATGATTTTGTAATTGTAAAAACCATATATCCTCATGGACAAGGCCTAGACATTAACATAAGCAAATGAAACATTGACTTAGACTTGAGAAGGGGTGATGGAAAAACTTTCTTTTGGGTTTCCGATTTTTTTTTTTTTTTTTTGGTAGGAGGAACACTTTTTTTTTTTAATTTATTTTTGATACAGAGAGACAGAGCACAAGTGGGAGAGAGGCAGAGAGAGAAGGAGACACAGAATCCTAAGCAGGCTCCAGGTTCCAAGCTGTCAGCACAGAGCCCGACGCAGGGCTTGAGCTCTGATACTTCCAGTATAGTATCTGTAATAATTATCTCAAAACATTTTAAACAGAAAGTAAGTGTGTGCTCATGGCCTAGTTTTAGGAAGGGGAGGAGAAGGAAAAAATAGTTTTTTCCTAGATCCTTCTGGACTATGCTTCTAAGTCGTTCGCATCCATCCCTCACTCTTCATCAACTGCAAGCAATATTTCAGGTGGCGATTGGGAAGAGCAGAGAATGGAGAGGAGGAAAGCTAAAAAGCAAAGAACAAATTAGCTACCAATTGTGGAGTATCTTCTGTACGCTCAAAGCCATGCTGGAAGGTTCTCCACATTCAGTAGGTGGGGTGGTAGCACAGCAGTGTGCTGATGGCGGTAAGGTCTTAGAAGTCATACTGTGTGAATTCAGCTCTCAGCTTTGCCCCTTAATACTGTAGTACACTTGAGTAATCTTCTAACCTTTCTAAACCTCAATTTCCTTGTGTGTAGAAATGAGGGGAGGATGGATAATTGCACTAAACTCACAGGGTAGTTACGTGGCTTATGTAAAAGCATCTGCAGGAAGCAGTAGTTCTCAACCTTGGCTGCACCTTAGACTCATCTGGAGAGCTTTAAATATTTTTTTTAAAGATTTTATTTTTAAGTAATCTCTCCACCCAGTGTGGGGCTTGAACTCCCAACCCCAAGATCGAGAGTCACACACTCTACTGACTAAGCCAGCCAGGCACCCCAACTTTAAATATTTTTGATGCTTCAGCATCCCCAGCCAATTATATGAGACTCTCTGGGGGTGTTGTCCCGGCTTCAGTACTTTTGAAGTTCCCCAGTCAATTCCACTGTGCAGCAAAGGTGAGAACCACTGCTGGCTCCCGTTAGCATGAAGCACGGTGCTGTGACGTGCTCTGTATGGCTCTGCCTGGCTCTGTGTCACTCTGGCAGTGGGCTTAATGTTTTCATTCCTGTCAACTGCACCAGAGAAGTTTTTTGTTTTGTTTTATCTCCGTTTTTGCAGGTAAGGAGAATGAAACTCGGGTTAATCCCTTCTTCAAGTTCACATAGCTAATATGTCATGAGGATTGAATGGCATCCAGGTCTTTTGGAGTCCGTAAGCCTCTGCTTTGGAGAAAAAGAAGAGCAGGGAAGGCAGTATAGTGAGAGAGCAAGAAGGGAGCCTGTATGTGCTCAGAGGTCGGGGGGCAGGACTACTGCCAGGGTCAGACAGCGTGCCAGTTCCCGACATTTCTGTGGGCCACATGATGTCTTGTGGCCAACTCTGCACAAATGTCATTTCAGCATCGGTCTGCTAAAATTTGCAGGTGGTGTAGTAAAGCCTTCATTTTGTCTGATTCTGGTTCCAGCTTTTTAGGGTCCCCCAAACTTTTATCTAGCAAGAAAGTCCATTTTGATATCTTTGGCTGCCAAAGTGAGAGACTAAATCCTTCAGAGAGTTTAGGGAGTGGGAGTGTCTTGGCCAAACGTGGCTGACCTTTTGTGTCCATGTGTAAATCAGGATCAGAATCTGTATGT